GGTCATCGGGTGACCTTCCAGGTCAGGTCAATGACCCGAAAACCGGGAAAATCGGGACCTGTTAGAAAGTCGTAAAGTGTGGCTGCTATTTGGTTTTCCGGGGTGCTGATCACGAATATCGTGTTAGTTTTGATCATAGATGATGTCTTTAAGCATTTAGACCAGGTCGGGTCAGGTCAGGTCAGGTCAACCGGTAGGGGTTGTGACGGGTATTCGTAATACGTGTCAACCGCCTCGGACAGCTTCGTAACATGTTACGAAGGCACCAAAACTACTTCGTAAATGTTCAAATGGTTGCTAAAATCGAATTCAGCTCCAAAAACTAGCCTAGAAACATGTAAAACTCGAAAAAGTGAACCGAGGTCACCCGAGGTCACCAAAGGTCAATGACCTGACCTGACCTTCAGGTGACCTTGACACCCACCCTAATGCATGGGAGCAACATCAAATCACATGTTTGAACGTTTGAAACCACGAAAAGCTTGCAAACGCGCGGCTAATGCGAGCCGACATGCGCCGAACCGCGATTTCGGCCAAACATGGTCACATAAAAGAGGTCACAGGTCAAAGGTCATTGGGGTCAGGGTCATGAAATTTTCAGGGTAGGTAGGTGTAAAATTGACCAATGCGAAGGTACTGAAAGTTTCGTCGCGATCGGCCGCTTTTTACGCGAGTTATTCGCGAAAAACCTTAGGGGGGGGGGGGGGGGGTTGCATCAACAGGGGATATTAACCCTGTGCCGGCGAGGGTTAATATCCATTTTCAGGTTAGGATAGGTCACAGACCCATGTTGGTCGCTAAGGGTCCTGTATGTACATACACGCTGCTACGTGAGGATATCTCAAAGGTTAGCAATGTCCTCACAACAGGCCAAGGCCAACAGGCCCTAAGGCTCACCGCTCACCTACAAATACTGATGGCCTAAGAGAACCCAACGCCGGCTTTAGGGCCCATGTAGGACTTCGATCGTGCCTTTGCCAGTCTCTCAGTGCCCACACCGGGTTCTGATCGCTGTCGCCAAAGGATCACTCACTATTATATCTGATGCTCTGCTCATTTGTCTACGCACAGCTTTATATGCATTAGGATGTCACGATGTGTATTTTTGGGTCGCCCGCCCAATCCTAACACCGTGGCGGAGCCCTGGCTCTAAGAAGGTACGCGAAGACACACAGCGGCGTTGAAACCCGCCTTCTGCAGCGCACAGTGGCCCTTTTTCAGAATTAGCACGCATAAATTCAAAATATTTTTTTCTTCTTTTGAGTAACAAGCAGTCTAATCGTGTGCAAAACATTCCAAACTATCCGATGGTGCCATTTTTACCTCCTAAAAAATAATTATCTTTGGTAAAACTGACCGCAAAATCGAAGTTTGTCGAGAGGCGCGCGGACACCACCGGCGGACCCTAAAAAGTAGGGCGAGATGAACATCAATTTGTAAGGCTTTCGGTGAGAAAATATTAAAAATTAGTGGCATGGCTGTGAAGCTGAGTTTACGTAGAAGCCCTAGAAACCACAATTTTCATTGTGTAAACTTAAATAGACCACTTTTGCCGAATATTGTGGACACAATAACAGGACAATTATTAACTGGAGATGGCGGCATACATATGAAGCTTTATGTTAAGTAACACACTCTGGGACATATCGTATTATACATCGTTCGAATCGCCGATCTCTTCTGACCATGTCCACCAAAGGGCATCGCGCCATTTTGCGCCATTTTGCTTCTACGGTGAATAACGTGAGCCAGTTCAGTCCGCGAGCGGCTGTGGCTCCTATTCGATACGACTAAGCTCATTGACCTGGCTCGAAGCTGGTGTCACCTGGTGGGCGCCTAAATGTGGCTTGACTTTTGCCATAAGATGTGCTTATTGAAATGTCATATAGGCATAACGCTGTGCTCAAGAAAAACTGTCCGATTTCTTGTCGCGTTTGATGTCCAAGCCGCACAAGTCCCGTGGTCGGCTTAAGATCTAACGTCAAAAGCGCCTATGTGTTTGTATTGTTCGCGTCGCGCTGACCTTAGTTGCTGCCCGGCCGGGGCCGATTAACGGTGGCTGGCAACAGCTGCAGATGCGGTCACGTGACGCCCTGAGGCGTCCTGGCGGTCAGTGCAGCGCGGTCGGCTGGCGGGCTCGCCACACTTGCGTTCGGAGCGGCCTAGGCCGGCGGGCGAGCCGTGCGAACGTGCGCCAAATCTTGGGCCGAGCGGCCTGTCGCTGTTGGGCCGAATCTCCTTGGGCAGTTCGTTTCTTTTCTTGTCTTTGCATTGGCAGGGAATACGTCCTTGATCACGTGGTGATGTCTTGCACCACTTTCAGGTAATGTGGGAATTAATGCGTGCTAATTCTGAAAAAGGGCCACTGTGCAGCGGCCAAAACACGCGGCAGATGCTGGCCGTCAGACCATTTGTGTCCATCCGTGACGTCAGTCACGACAGGTGTGACGTCAAACCGGCCGGCGCTGACGTCATACCTCGATCCGGTCAGCCGGGAGACGAGCTGGCGTCTCGACGGTGACCTGAAGTGGGCGGGGGGGGGGGGGGAGGCCTGGGTCGGACCCAAGAGGGGTCCCGAGTACGAGTTCGACCCTTCTAGGGGAACTCCGGGAGTCACCGGGAGGGGCGGCGAAGGTCGGTCAGGTGTGCGTGTGTGTGTGTGTGGGGGTCCCCCATTGGAACCCGTTTCGAGCGTATCGTCTACGTAACTGAAAGAGTATGTTGTATTTCTGTCATATTCCTATGCACGGCGGGAATATACTTTATTAACCAATTTTCGTCGTTGCCCGCTTCCCCCAGTCGTACCCAGATAGGCCCGGAAATTATTCAATACGAACTCGAAAGTCATTCCCAAGCCCACTTCTTAGAGTGGTCCGTTCAAAAGTTGGATTCACCGTTCCGTGCTTCTATCCTCAGGATACTGAAATCCTTCTCCCCAGCGCCGCAACCCCCTCCGGGCTGGACAGGCAACTTTATCTCATGCGGGCTGCTCCCTTGGAGCGGCACCGCTGCTCCCGAGGGAGCTGCACCCCGTAGCCGGGTGCAGAGAGTGCTTGGGGGGCTGGTTGGCCTGTCCATTTGGACGGGCTCAGCCCCGGCGACTCTCTAGGGTGCCTGCCCAGACCAATGTCTCCCCCTAATTCCTATCATCCTTCCGGCTCTGAAATGGTCTTGTCAGACCGAAAGGGCCTAACCCAACAAAACAAAAACAAACAAACAAAAGTTGGATTGGAAGCCACCGGACTCAGATAAATTGAGATGAAATCACTGTTATTGAGTAAGGAAAATATATTCCTGCCCGGGGCGGGGATGTGCTTTTCGCTAAAAAAGCGAGGTGACATTTATTGAATTCCCGGCCTTAGGGCTGGAAAGTGTTTCCCATACCTGCCAAAATGCTCACAACTATAATTGATAGTGACGTCAGCAGCCGTGTGGTTCAACGCGTTTAACCACACCCCTTGAACCACACGGCTGGCAATATTAAAGCACTGCATTAAACCTTGAAAAGTGTGGTACAGTGCACGTGCCATTAAAATGCCTGGATGTCTCGATTTAATCATGCAATGTAGCAGGTATGGGAAAAGATCATCTCTTCTGAGTTAAGCGAACTTTTAGCCCTCGCAAGGGTGTTTTCTACGACCTACACTTTAGGTACGGATCTTAATTAAAAGCTGATCGCTTTTGGTCGCAATTCACACTCACGAGCTATGGGTCGTTAAAATATATCGATAACTGCCGAAAATCGAAAAAATGCGACCTCCTGCATCGACCTTAACCGACCTGACATAATATATATGTAGGTAGCCGGCATCAACTTGTGGGTATTTCTAGAAAAAAATACTTTGACCGGTGAAAACGTTCATTTTTTACCGTAATTATAAAATTAACAAAATTAAACTCAGACATCCCGCTCGATCCGTGGTGTGAGGAAACTGTCAGCAACACTTCTGAGAACGACAGACCCGGTGCCCCCCCTCAACCTCTCGGCGGACCCCCCCCCCCCCCAGCGAGCTTCGTCGAAAGACACCAGCTTTGTGGCCCGGCCGTCAGTCGCGCTCTTCCGGCACGTTTGGCTCCACGCTCTGGCAGAGGTGATCCCCAGCAGGCCACGGCTCTGGTGTGGCATATGGATTCCGTGTCGAGTGTGATTTGCGCAGCATCGAAACCGTGATGGATTATGATGAGAGGACAAACAAAATCAGGCTGGCCACTGCCAGCCCAGGCTCAGCGCCCATGATACGCTTGATGGACGAGCCGCACAGCTAGCCGCTTATCGGGAAATCATTGGCGACTGCGCTAAGCGGATCCACATTAGGGCGTGATGACTGGTGGTGCATCAGTAACAAGGTAAAGCCACTGCGGCAGTGTCTATAAAATGAAAACGTGGGCTGGACATTGCTCCGATGAGACGTCATTGAAAAAATCGCAGCAAAGTGTCGGGTGATGAGAAAACGCACCATTCTTCAAGGGCATCCAACTATAAACCGTGTTGCAAAAAGCCTAGCATACCGCGAACTGAAATGAATGCATAATAGCCAGCCGTTCAACTACAACGATAATTTCAAAGATACATAATTTGTGCAAAAGTTCCAGCAAGTGTGAAACCATCTGAAACAGCGCTAGGGTTTTCCGAAAAGTTAGCACATCAACATCCAAAGATCCGGGACACAACACAACATAAAATAAAGTGCATATTATGAAGCCTTGTCCAAGCTGTTTACAGAGAAATCCAGTGAGGTGGCAGTCGCTTACAGATGAGAATGATGCAAGTACCTGTTCATAATAGACAAAATGTCCGTCGAAAACATGTCACTGGCACCCTGTGAACTTTATCGGCCACCCAGCGCCTCTGTTCAACTGAATACACTCAGCAGTCGGACGGGCAGCAGTCCGAGCTTCCACAGCGCGGCGTGTCAGGAGCAGGTACGCGAACCCAGTCAGTCCGAATTACCTGTCAGACCCATCTGCCGCCGCGACCCCGGGCTCCGAGAGACAGCGGAAATTCATAAAAGATTTATTGATCACCTTGCCCAGACGCCGAGAAGCGCGCGGCGCCGGCCGCCAGTGTCTGCCGACCGGAGCGATTTGAGACAGCGGCACCGCAGCCGGGGCGCGCCACAGCTGCCCCCGCCCGCAGCCGCCGCCGCAGGCACGCACCGCGACGGACCGCGCGCGTATGGACTAAGTAGAAACACGTGGGCAAAAAAGCCCAGCACAATAGTGCCATTTCGCGCATTCACACATGACAACTATAACCAGCCTAGATAAAAAAGCTTTAGCCTAAGAGCCGCTATTATAAATATAGAGGAATTTAGTGAGACAATTTCTCAAACACCTACGCAGTTAGTGGAATGCAGCTAATCGGAAAAGCCTCACTTAATCAAACTTAACTATACACATTGGAATGATCAGGAGCGGCGTGCGCTATTAGCTGCCGTAGTCGGACAATTTGATCGTGACGAAACAGGGAGAGGTACCTCCATTTCTCGCACCATTACTGAGCACCCGCCGACGCTGCACGTCCATTGGCATAACACGATCGGCGCCGGAGCCACGGCTCGCACCGACACGCCAATACCAACACGCCAACACCATCCGTAACAGATTTCTCACCCGGCCCGGGCGCGCACTTCATGTAAAAATCAACGGGTCTAAAGGAATCGCGTCGCAGTGTAAAAGGCTAAAACGGCCCGGGCGCCGTCTCTGGCCGACGGCGGCGGCCCGGGGCGTCCGATCACCGCCCGCCGCCGTCCAATTCTCGCTCGTCCGATTTGTGGCAGGCCGCCGGCCCGCCGGCCCCGTCGTCGTGTCGCCCGCCGGTGCCGACCCCGTCTCCGTCCGCGCGCGGCGCACGGCGCTAGACGCAGTCCTCCATCGACATGAGCAGCGGGTTCACGTACTCGAACCCCTCGAACTCGCTCTGGTCGATCTTGTCGATCACTTTCCTGCAACGGAGACGGATAGGGTCCGGTCAGCATTCTGGGACACCCAACCTTCCCCTAAATACGGAACACACACCCGACCCGGCAGACATCAACAACCAGCCGTCAGCACCGGGGTTATACATAGACACCGGCCTTCGATAACCTCGCTGCGGATCGGGTTGTTACACCCCGCGACCGATACCGCCGATCCCCAGACGTCTCAGATCGGTCAGTGATCAGACTGGTGACCCTGACCCCTACCGGTTCAGATCCCACCTCCAGACGTCCGGGGGGGGGGGGGGGGAGGGGGCTCACACTATCCGCCTCATTTTGTGCTGAGGTCGACACTCGGGTCACCCTATCGAACTACCAGCTGTCACCGATATGTGAACAACAGCGCCGGGACGGGTGTGCGGCAATGGTGGACACCTTACCGGTAACAACTACCGCAAACCCATGCACACTAGCTACATGCTGAACACTCGTACAAATTAATCCGGGTAGCAACCGGGATAACAACAAACGAGACACTGGGCAGAGGGCTAATTACATTGAACGGTCGTAACCAGAGGAGCTACGCGACTAGGGCAAACATACAACAGACATGGAAAGCAACAACGAAGCGCACGGTTTGCCGGAATTAAGAAACAACTGGCAACGCGAGTGCAATTGAACACTGGTATGAAGTTGGTGTTCCGTGTTCCGATCACGAAATCGATGGTCAAGTGTTTGTAACTTCAGGATCGTTACCGGTGATATCACGAATCACGAACAGACGCAAAAGTTTGAGTATGTGTTCAGCACGGCAACGTAAAAGAATAACGCATCGAGATGGTCCCATCACATGCTGGAAAGTCAGACATTCACTTCCACAATGCAAAACAGGTTTGAAGAGAAACATTAAACAACATATTTTAGCGTGACAGCTTCGCTTTACGGCCATAGCAGCAGCGTGAGGTAGCTCCACAGCCACATAAAAAAAATCCGGTCAGTATTGATACAAGATTACAGATACATCAACATCACGTTCAATTTATCACAAAACCATCAGAAACACAATACATTAGACCTAGAGCCGTCGGATCACGGGCTTACTGCCCCAGACGACCAGAAATTGTGCCTGGAGACCGCTAGAGGTCAGAGACCTGCCCCGAAGCCAGGGACGACCGTTCATGAACCCAGCCTGCAAAAAACAACGCCCGACATTCAACCGTCGACAAAAACTTGCATCGACAACCAGGAAAAAATAACGTAAAAACACCAGACGGCGAGGTGAAAAGCCCCGAGACATGCGCGCAGCTCACAAAAACTCGGGCACTACCCGGGATGCTGGCGGCATGAAGCAGCCAGGAAGCGTTCGACGATGGGTGGGGGAGTTTTTTTATCAGACAGCACTTAGCTGGGATGGAGATTGAGCAAAAACGACGATAAAGCCGCGTCATTGACCGGGGAGTGAGCACTGCTGGGGGAAACAGCCTTTGGAGGTTTAATTGCACGAGATGGCCCTATCGACTATATAAGTAAAACCTGCCTATTGCCCGTCTATTCTCCTGAATGTCGTACTTGTTGTATGAGGTGTGCTTAGGCTTACTAACCTTAAAAAATTGTTCCTTACTCCAAGTACTTCAGGTAGGAATACAGAAAACGTGAGCCGTCTCAAACTTAATTTGAACGCAACTATGTCTTCATAGTCGTCGAACACTACCGATTGCTGAACCGTTTCGACGAGTCTCATTTCGCAGGCATTCAGGCCGAGTACGCCTGACCTTCACCGCCTTTCAGCCAGAGGGAGCATGCGGGACGCCGACAAAGGAGAAAAAAAAAACTGTCAGTCCCAGCAGCTCGGCGGGTCGGGTTCCCGAGCGGCTCAGGGGCCGCGGCTCACCCTCCCCGCCGTCCGTTCCAGCAAGTCGCGTCCCCCGCGCCAGCCATCTGCGCCCACCAAGGTCAGCGGCGCCGACTGCCCCTGAGACGGACTGCACCACACAAAAACGTACGCGCAAAAACCGCAGCAAAAACTGCACGCCCACAGCAAAAACCCAAACAAAAACCGCACAGGTAAAAAAATCCCCGTGCGCGAGCAGAGACAGGACGTGCAAAAAGCGCTGCAAAAACCGAAACAAAAACTGGGACAAAAAGCGGCGGAGGCCGTCGGCTTCGTCCAGTCATGATTAACGATCCCGCGCCGGCCGGCGCGGGTGGAGGGGGAACAAAAAATCGATTACAACTGACGAGCAAAAAACGCCTCGTGCTAATGCCGGCGGGACCTTTTTTGTCGTCGCTCCCCAGCCACAGTATCCGATGACGACGGAAGAGGGATGGGAGGGAGAGAGAACAGAGAGTGAGGAGAGACACACGCAGCCGGGAGGTCGCAAAGGAAAATAGACGTGCGGCGTGCGCTGTTGGTTTTGCGCGCCGGCAAAACATCGTTACGCATCTAGCCAGTGATGTTTGGAAGGTGCGGTCACACCGGCTGCCGAGAACGGAACTGGCTCCTGTCTGCTGCACGTTCCGGAAAGGGAAGCAGCAGGCGGCATCACTGGGGGTCTGAGATAGGGGCCTGTTACGGTACTAAGGTTGTTACCTAACCCTGGACTCAGATTTAAAGGCAGCAAGACATGCCAGACCACGAGCGTAACGACTCTGATCAGTTATAACGGTTATTAGAGTTCATAGTACCACCAAATAAAGTCGTGCTGCGTTTTCCCAACGAAGTTTGCAGCATGACCAGCCTACCTCATGCAAAAACAATTATTATTTATCTACCGATGACTTATAAAACGTATCGAATAATAAAACCGGTATATGACGCATTCGACGTCTCTCAACATGGGCGCTCCATGGTGCCCTCAGTGGATAAGCATCTGTCCTTGGTCAACAGACTCGCAAAAGGCCCCGTAACACTGAACACCAAGTGGTACCCCCTGGCTACGACGGATAATCCCCTGTTCATCCCATCAACTCACGAAATATCCCGGTAAATGGCCTCGTTCATGGCGAATTTACTGACCTATGCAACCACCGACCGCATTGACGCATTGAAAGGCGTGTTTGAATTCACAATACACCCCTCACGATACCGCGATCTGCCGAATGATTTTAGCGACGTAAAACAACCGGAAAATGGACAGCACACCTTCAAACACCGCCCTGAAAAACCGCCCACCGGCACGCCAGGGGCCACTTTTCCGCTAATTTCTGTCATAAAAAGCCACTTTCGGATGCAGCTGCATGTGATGTATGCAGTATACGACCCGAATCGGCGGCCGTAATCATTTGCCCACTTTACTGCAGACTCCATAAAATATATCAGCACCACTACCGCTGGACCTGAGCCGTGAAAGCTGGACCGCTGCTTGGTTACAGGCGTCAGAGTGAGGTGTCCTAAAAACCCAATCATCGTCTCCTCCCGCCCATAACACCGGGGCAAGGCAGGCTCTATAGCTGGCATTCTTCATGCAGAGGTGACACAGAGCCAACACCGCGGGCGTCCGTACAGAGCTCTAAGCAAGCCAGCATGGCGGCATACAGCAACATCAATAACGGCATATGCATCCATCGTGCAGCAGCAATAAATACAGCCGCGACTGTAAGCACCCTGCTGCTACCTCCCGGCAGTCCGAGCCATCGTCAGGGTGACTAGGGACGCCCGCTAATACCCAGAGTGCACGGCCAACATGGAGTCTTTGCCCAGTCAATATCGGCGTCAATCATACCGGCCCCGGCCGACGCCCGGCAACAGGCACGGGGCGGAGCGGCTGTCCGGAGCCGCCGGACGGACGGACGGACAGCGACAGTGACCGAGACAGCACTACTGGAGAGTGGCAGTCACTGAGACAGCGCTGCTGGAGAGTGGCAGTCACTGAGACAGCGCTGCTGGAGAGTGGCAGTCGCTGAGATGGTGCTGCTGGAGAGTGGCAGTCACTGAGACAGTGCTGCTGGAGAGTGGCAGTCACTGAGACAGCACTACTGGAGAATGGCAGTCACTGAGACAGCACTACTGGAGAATGGCAGTCACTGAGACAGTGCTGCTGGAGAGTGGCAGTCGCTGAGATGGTGCTGCTGGAGAGTGGCAGTCACTGAGACAGCGCTGCTGGAGAGTGGCAGTCACTGAGACAGCGCTGCTGGAGAGTGGCAGTCACTGAGACAGCGCTGCTGGAGAGTGGCAGTCGCTGAGATGGTGCTGCTGGAGAGTGGCAGTCACTGAGACAGCGCTGCTGGAGAGTGGCAGTCACTGAGACAGTGCTGCTGGAGAGTGGCCGTCGCTGAGATGGCTGGAGAGTGGCAGTCACTGAGACAGCACTGCTGGAGAGTGGCAGTCACTGAGACAGCGCTGCTGGAGAGTGGCAGTCGCTGAGATGGTGCTGCTGGAGAGTGGCAGTCACTGAGACAGTGCTGCTGGAGAGTGGCCGTCGCTGAGATGGCTGGAGAGTGGCAGTCACTGAGACAGCACTGCTGGAGAGTGGCAGTCGCTGAGACAGCACTACTGGAGAGTGGCAGTCACTGAGACAGCACTGCTGGAGGGTGGCAGTCGCTGAGACAGTGCTGCCGGACATTGGCAGTCGCTGAGACAGTGCTGCTGGACGGTATCAGCCTCTATATTGAGAGACCAAGGCGCCTGGAGTCTACCCAAAACACACCAACTGCCACAGTCTACATACGAGTATGAGGACGCTTCAGTTCACAGCCTCCGAGTGCCTGGTTGAGGAGCGATCAGACGATCAGACGGTTTGCCGGTCAGACAGTTTGCTGATCAGACGGTCAGACGACGTGCTGGTTGCGCGGTGGTGTAGTCGGGCCGTTCAGCGCCGAGCCCGGTTGAGTGCTCGGTCGGGGCGCCGCCCGAGCCGCGCGGCCGGCCCGTCCCGCCTCTCGGGCGACCGGCCATCCATCAGGCGGCCCGGTCCGAGTGGCGCCGCTGCTGGGCCGGGGTTTTCCAGGGGACGGCCGCCGCCCAGTGGCAGTGTTGCAGCGGATCCGGCCCGTCAGCCGACGGCGCCCCGAGCGGCCGCTCCCCGCCG